TTTTTTTTTTTTTTTTTTTTTTTTTTTTTTTTTTTTTGTAAAAAAATGTCTTCGTGTACTGTAAAAAGACTAGTGTCATTGTCAACTTATCTTTCAGCGCGTAATGAGTCTGAAATAGCCACGACCCGTCGCCTTTAGTCAGGTTTCCACGAAACCACGAAGCTTATTGCTGGAATTAAGAATAATCGTAAGCTTCATGTATGAACCTTTGAGAATACTTCCTTTTGTCATTTGTTTCCAATTTGTGCTACATTTGTCATTTGAATACGATTTATCCATGTATTTTTTTTAGCCATCGTCATCTTGTGGTTCTTTGGGTACGCTGTGCCTCGACCTATAAGCTAAAAATCGACTTTTGTCCGTTTCTTCATCGTAATCCTCTTCCTCGTCAGATTCATCCTCATCCTCATCCTCGTAACCTCCGTCAGCATTCTCTCCATCATCAGCACAGCATTGATCATTTTCACCATCATTTTCATCGTCGTCATCATCATCATCATCATCGATTCCTTTGTCCTTCTTGGCTTTATTTGTAGCTTCTAACATTACTTTGATCATAGCAAAATCACTAGCGTCCACTAGATCGAGAGGCCGTTCCCCCTCGTCAGTTCTGATCAATGGGTCGGCGCCTCTTTTCAGTAAATACCTGGTGAAAAGGGAAAAAGAGATAGTTACCAAGGACCTGATGTATCTGCGAGAGGCGCAAATGACTTAGCGACTGGATGATTATTAGCTGGCGAGATTAAGTTGCTAAGAAATGTGGCAAATATACATGGGCAAGGTTTCAAAGTGTTTTAAAATTACGCGTTATCTTATAGCCTTATTGCCGTTGCTTTCCGATATCAACGTGGCCATAACACGTAACATTTGATGAGGCAATTAGATATATCAAATATGTAAATATGTAAATTTAGGCGTAAGTCAAAATTGATGTGGGTTGTGTGAATGATATGTTATTCAAATAAATATAAAATCTGACTTCTCATATGTTCCCCGTGCTTTAATGCTGTCACATTCTGTACAGTTGATGTGAACATTTTGCATATAAATACAACATCGGCCCATGTATTGTAAGGTTTAAATTGAAAGTTGAAAATCAAAGTGTATATATATATATATATATATATATATATATATATATATATATATATATATATATATATCAACTCAAGTTCATATGTCACCTTGCGATATCAACGTGTCCTTCAGAGCAGGCGGCGTGCAAGGCTGTCCACGTGTCTTCGTCTTGCTTGTTGATATCCGCTCCATGTCTGATCAGCAGGCGGACTGCAGCAAAATTACCATCTAATACAGCTGTGTGTAATGGAGTCAGGCCTGCAAATAGATGCGGCATTTTTTATTTACGCTTTAAAGCAGATCATTCAAGTTTTCGACAAGAATTGACGA